CAGACAGAATTGTTACGGAGTGCCAGAGAATTGTTACTCAGGGACAGACACAGAATTGTTACTGAGTGCCAGAGAATTGTTACTTAGGGCCACAGAAACTTTAATTAGGGCCACAGAATTTTTACTCAGGGACAGACAGAATTGTTACTGAGTGCCAGAATTGTTACTCAGGGACAGACAGAATTGTTACGGAGTGCCAGAGAATTGTTACTCAGGGCCACAGAAACTTTACTTAGGGCCACAGAATTTTTACTCAGGGACAGACAGAATTGTTACTGAGTGCCAGAGAATTGTTACTCAGGGACAGACAGAATTGTTACGGAGTGCCAGAGAATTGTTACTCAGGGACAGACAGAATTGTTACTGAGTGCCAGAGAATTGTTACTTAGGGCCACAGAAATTTTAATTAGGGCCACAGAATTTTTACTCAGGGACAGACAGAATTGTTACTGAGTGCCAGAGAATTGTTACTCAGGGACAGACAGAATTGTTACGGAGTGCCAGAGAATTGTTACTCAGGGCCACAGAAACTTTACTTAGGGCCACAGAATTTTTACTCAGGGACAGACAGAATTGTTACTGAGTGCCAGAGAATTGTTACTCAGGGACAGACAGAATTGTTACTGAGTGCCAGATAATTGTTACTCAGGGCCCCAGAAACTTTACTTAGGGCCACAGAATTTTTACTCAGGGACAGACAGAATTGTTACTGAGTGCCAGAGAATTGTTACTCGGACAGACAGAATTGTTACTGAGTGCCAGAGAATTGTTACTTAGGGCCACAGAAACTTTACTTAGGGCCACAGAATTGTTACTTGCACAGACACAGAATTGTTACTCGCACAGACACAGAATTGTTACTGAAGGCCACAGAACTGTTACTTAGGGCCACAGAATTGTTACTCGCACAGACACAGAATTGTTACTCGCACAGACACAGAACTGTTACTGAGGGCCACAGAACTGTTACTTAGGGCCACAGAATTGTTACTCGCACAGACACAGAATTGTTACTCAGGGCCACAGAACTGTTACTTAGGGACAAAGAAACGCTAGTTAGGGCCACAGAATTCATACTCAGGGACAGACAGAATTGTTACGGAGTGCCAGAGAATTGTTACTCAGGGCCACAGAAACTTTACTTAGGGCCACAGAATTTTTACTCAGGGACAGACAGAATTGTTACTGAGTGCCAGAGAATTGTTACTCAGGGACAGACAGAATTGTTACTACGGAGTGCCAGAGAATTGTTACTCAGGGACAGACAGAATTGTTACTGAGTGCCAGAGAATTGTTACTTAGGGCCACAGAAATTTTATTAGGGCCACAGAATTTTTACTCAGGACAGACAGACAGATTGTTACTGAGTGCCAGAGAATTGTTACTCAGGGACAGACAGAATTGTTACGGAGTGCCAGAGAATTGTTACTCAGGGCCACAGAAACTTTACTTAGGGCCACAGAATTTTTACTCAGGGACAGACAGAATTGTTACTGAGTGCCAGAGAATTGTTACTCAGGGACAGACAGAATTGTTACGGAGTGCCAGAGAATTGTTACTCAGGGGCCACAGAAACTTTACTTAGGGCCACAGAATTTTTACTCAGGGACAGACAGAATTGTTACTGAGTGCCAGAGAATTGTTACTCAGGGACAGACAGAATTGTTACTGAGTGCCAGATAATTGTTACTTAGGGCCACAGAAACGTTATTAGGGCCACAGAATTGTTACTCAGGGACAGACAGAATTGTTACTGAGTGCCAGAGAATTGTTACTTAGGGCCACAGAAACTTTAGTTACTGGGCCACAGAATTGTTACTCAGGGACAGACACAGAATTGTTACTGAGGGCCACAGAATTGTTACTCGCACAGACACAGAATTGTTACTGAGGACCACAGAACTGTTACTTAGGGCCACAGAAATTGTTACTCGCACAGACACAGAATTGTTACACAGGGACACAGAACTGTTACTGAGGGCCACAGAACCGTTACTTAGGGCCACAGAATTGTTACTCGCACAGACACAGAATTGTTACTCAGGGACACAGAATTGTTACTCACATAATCGTTTAATTAAAGAGTATGTCAGACAACATGCAGAGGGAGTGGCAGAGGAGGCAATGTTTTAGGAGCGAGCAGACGTGGCAGCAGAGGAAGGGGTCGAGGCGAGGCAGCACTATTCGCAGCCAGAGGCCAGTGCTCCCGGTGTCATCCAGCGGTCGTGTCTCCACCGACAACCCTGCCGTCATCGATTGGTTGGCTCGGTCGTCTTCCTCTTCCCAGGTCACCTCTGACACCTACAGCCAACGGTCGGTGGGTACGTCAGACACAACCGTTAGTTGGCATGGCCCAGGACCAAGCCCACTGAAATCACGTGTCCTCTACCTGCCCCTGTCCTTTGGTGTTCCCTCACCAAGCGAAGTATCGCATGCTGTGGGCTCAGCCCCACTGTACAGTGAGGAAGAGCTAACAGAGGGCGGTCAGGAACGGGGGGAGACATCCGCCTTTTCAGCAGCCAGGCGAAGAAAGTAGTGGCGAGGAGAGTGGCCCGGTAGCCGGTCTAGAGACAGGTCTGTCTCCTGACCCAGACGCAGCCGAGGGGGCTAGTAGTGAGGCGGAGACCCTACTTGATGATGAGGAGGTTGATCGCACTTGGCAGCCTCGTCGTCATCAGGCAATTTCTTCCGCATCATCAGGAGAAGAGGGTGGCAGCTTGGCAGTGAGCGAAACAGTCGGTGGGTTGCCCAGGAGACAGCAGCAGGGTCGCAGCAGTGTCAGTGGAAGCAGTGTCAGTGGAGCCAAACGGCCACGGAGTAGAGCACCAGCTCCACTGCAGCCTACCACCACGGCCAGTAGTGGGTGCCGGTGTGCACGGGAGGAAGCAGCAGTCAGCCAGTGAGGAGTATCGGGGGCAAAGTTTCCTACTCGGCGGTGTGGCAATTTTTCGTCAAGCCGCCCGAGGAAGTAAACGTAGCCGTATGTCGACTATGTGGCCAGAAAGTCAAGCGTGGCCAGGGGGCCCATGTTGGGACTATTTGGGCCATGTTGGGACAATGGGAGACCTCCCATTGCTGCTGTCTCCATCGCCACACTCTGCCATGTGCCACTTTCAGGTCTCCTCCACACACTGCTGGTGTGTTGAATTTTTTGACATAGGGTGCTGGCAGATTACGGGCCTCCCATAGCTGCTGCCAGGCCCCTAATCTGCCATAGGCCCCTATATACCGCCTCCTCATGCTGCTGCCAGGTCCAGAGTCTCTCATGGGTCCCTGTACGGCCTCCCATTGCTGCTGTCTCCATCGCCACACTCTGCCATGTGCCACTTTCAGGTCTCCTCACACTGCTGGTGTGTGTAGAATTTTTTTGACATAGGGTGCTGGCAGATTACGGGCCTCCCATAGCTGCTGCCAGGCCCCTAATCTGCCATAGGCCCCTATATACCGCCTCCTCATGCTGCTGCCAGGTCCAGAGTCTGTCATGGGTCCCTGTACGGCCTCCCATTGCTGCTGTCTCATCGCCACACTCTGCCATGTGCCACTTTCAGGTCTCCTCACACACTGCTGGTGTGTAGAATTTTTTGACATAGGGTGCTGGCAGATTACGGGCCTCCCATAGCTGCTGCCAGGCCCCTAATCTGCCATAGGCCCCTATATACCGCCTCCTCATGCTGCTGCCAGGTCCAGAGTCTCTCATGGGTCCCTGTACGGCCTCCCATTGCTGCTGTCTCCATCGCCACACTCTGCCATGTGCCACTTTCAGGTCTCCTCACACACTGCTGGTGTGTAGAATTTTTTGACATAGGGTGCTGGCAGATTACGGGCCTCCCATAGCTGCTGCCAGGCCCCTAATCTGCCATAGGCCCCTATATACCGCCTCCTCATGCTGCTGCCAGGTCCAGAGTCTCTCATGGGTCCCTGTACGGGCCTCCCATTGCTGCTGTCTCCATCGCCACACTCTGCCATGTGCCACTTTCAGGTCTCCTCACACTGCTGGTGTGTAGAATTTTTTGACACATAGGGTGCTGGCAGATTACGGGCCTCCATAGCTGCTGCCAGGCCCCTAATCTGCCATAGGCCCCTATATACCGCCTCCTCATGCTGCTGCCAGGTCCAGAGTCTCTCATGGGTCCCTGTACGGCCTCCCATTGCTGCTGTCTCCATCGCCACACTCTGCCATGTGCCACTTTCAGGTCTCCTCACACTGCTGGTGTGTAGAATTTTTTGACATAGGGTGCTGGCAGATTACGGGCCTCCCATAGCTGCTGCCAGGCCCCCTATCTGCCATAGGCCCCTATATACCGCCTCCTCATGCTGCTGCCAGGTCCAGTGGAGTCTCTCATGGGTCCCTGTACGGCCATAGGCCTCCCATTGCTGCTGCTGTCTCATGGGTCCCTGTACGGCCTCCTCTGCCATGTGCCACTTTCAGGTCTCCTCACACACTGCTGGTGTGTTAGAATTTTTTGACATAGGGTGCTGGCAGATTTACGGGCCTCCCATAGCTGCTGCCAGGCCCCTAATCTGCCTGAGGCCCCTATATACCGCCCTCCTCATGCTGCTGCCCCATACGCCTCCTCATGCTGCTGCCAGGTCAGAGTTCTCATGGGTGAATTTTCCCTGTACGGCCTCCCATTGCTGCTGTCTAATCATGCCATGTGCCACTTTCAGGTCTCCTCACACACTGCTGGTGTGTAGCAATTTTTTGACATAGGGTATGGCAGATTACGGGCCTCCCATAGCTGCTGCCAGGCCCTAATCTGCCATAGGCCCCATATATACCGCCTCCTCATGCTGCTGCCAGGTCCAGAGTCTCTCATGGGTCCCTGTACGGCCTCCCATTGCTGCTGTCTCCATCGCCACACTCTGCCATGTGCCACTTTCAGGTCTCCTCACACTGCTGGTGTGTTGAATTTTTTGACATAGGGTGCTGGCAGATTTACGGGCCTCCCATAGCTGCTGCCAGGCCCCTAATCTGCCATAGGCCCCTATATACCGCCTCCTCATGCTGCTGCCAGGTCCAGAGTCTCTCATGGGTCCCTGTGTACGGCCTCCATTGCTGCTGTCTCCATCGCCACACTCTGCCATGTGCCACTTTCAGGTCTCCTCACACACTGCTGGTGTGTAGAATTTTTTGACATAGGGTGCTGGCAGATTACGGGCCTCCCATAGCTGCTGCCAGGCCCCTAATCTGCCATAGGCCCCTATATACCGCCTCCTCATGCTGCTGCCAGGTCCAGAGTCTCTCATGGGTTCCCTGTACGGCCTCCCATTGCTGCTGTCTCCATCGCCACACTCTGCCATGTGCCACTTTCAGGTCTCCTCACACTGCTGGTGTGTAGAATTTTTTTGACATAGGGTGCTGGCAGATTACGGGCCTCCCATTGCTGCTGCCAGGCCCCTAATCTGCCATAGGCCCCTATATACCGCCTCCTCATGCTGCTGCCAGGTCCAGAGTCTCTCATGGGTCCCTGTACGGCCTCCCCCATTGCTGCTGTCTCCATCGCCACACTCTGCCATGTGCCACTTTCAGGTCTCCTCACACACACTGCTGGTGTGTAGAATTTTTTGACATAGGGTGCTGGCAGATTATACGGGCCTCCCATAGCTGCTGCCAGGCCCCTAATCTGCCATAGGCCCCTATATACCGCCTCCTCATGCTGCTGCCAGGTCCAGAGTCTCTCATGGTTCCCTGTACGGCCTCCCATTGCTGCTGTCTCCATCGCCACACTCTGCCATGTGCCACTTTCAGGTCTTCCTCACACACTGCTGGTGTGTAGAATTTTTTGACATAGGGTGTTGGCAGATTACGGGCCTCCCATTGCTGCTGCCAGGCCCTAATCTGCCATGGGCCCCTATATATACCGCCTCCTCATGCTGCTGCCAGGTCCAGAGTCTCTCATGGGTCCCTGTACGGCCTACCATTGCTGCTGTCTCCATCGCCACACTCTGCATGTGGCCACTTTAGGTCTCCTCACACACTTGCTGGTGTGTTAGAATTTTTTGACATAGGGTGCTGGCAGATTACGGGGGCCTCCCATAGCTGCTGCCAGGCCCCTAATCTGCCATAGGCCCCTATATACCGCCTCCTCATGCTGCTGCCAGGTCCAGAGTCTCTCATGGGTCCCTGTACGGCCTCCCATTGCTGCTGTCTCCATCGCCACACTCTGCCATGTGCCAGACTTTCAGGTCTCCTCACACTGCTGGTGTGTAGAATTTTTTTTGACATATAGGGTGCTGGCAGATTACGGGCCTCCCATTGCTGCTGCCAGGCCCCTAATCTGCCATGGGCCCCTATACGCCCTCCTCATGCTGCTGCCAGTCCAGAGTGTGTCATGGGTCCCTGTACGGCCTCCCATTGCTGCTGTCTCCATAGCCACACTCTGCCATGTGCCACTTTCAGGTCTCCTCACACTGCTGGGTGGTGATAAGATTTTTTTTGACATAGGGTGCTGGCAGATTACGGGCCTCCCCATTGCTGCTGCCAGGCCCAAGTTAATCTGCCATGGGCCCCCGTTTACACGCCTCTCATGCTGTGACGTTGCAACAAGGTGGAATTCAACCTACATATGTTTACGGACCTCCCTTTACTGAACATAGCGAAAGGCCATCACCACTTTGATGTTAAAGAAACGCGGATAAAGGTACTCCCTGTGGGTAACTTAGATGTCAGCCAGATTGGCAGCTTCCATGCGTGACACCTGCGCTTGCTCAGGCCCCTTTGAGAAGGCCACGCTATTCGTGAGTCGCCAGGACTATGGGAGATGAACCTGTCAGACGTCTGGGTCCTCTGTTGCACGTCCTGGAACAAATGCTGTTAACCATGGAGCATCTTGGTCAGCAGGGAGTGCGGTAGACGTGGCGCAGAGATCTCAACGCCACTTGTGACCCATGTGGGGGCAGGACAGGAAGAAGAGGTGGAGGTTAGCGGGAGGACATTGGTGCTCAGGCCCCAAATTGAGTGAATTGGGTGGTTTTTCACTCAGCGGACAGGAGTGGAGGAGCTGGAGCATCTGGTTAGAGGAGGAGGAGGAGGACACTCTGAGGGACCCTGTACGGACGCCAGTGGCAGTATGCTGTGGAGTGGAGGCAGGGAAGCGTGTCCCTCGCATTCCTTGGCACCACAAATGGCCCATAGCATGCTCGGTTGCCTTGCGTAGCGAACTCCGAATAATTATAACCATCAGACAGAGGGATGATTTTGGCTGTCCACACTTGTTGGACCCTCGCTATCCGTTCAAAAATGGTGGTGTGCCTTTTTCAGCACCTGCTGAGAGTGGAGGGCAAAATAACATACTATAAAAACCACCTATGTAGTCAGCTGGTCTCTGCCTGTCTGCGCCAACGTCCATTCCTCAGACACTGTGGGCCCTGTGCGCTCGCGTTCCGCTGCCATGGCAGCAGGGGGGGGTCGGGGGGTGGTAGGCAGTGGCAGCTCCACCAGCAGCGGCTGCCTCAGTCTGCAGTCGATGATGAGTAGCTTTCTTCACCAGCGCAGTGAGGTAAAACTACTAACCAGCCCAGCAGCAGCAGCAGCAAGCAGCAGGCCAGCTCAGGTGGACCTGGAGCAGGACCTCAAACAAACACAGGCTTGGGCCTACTTGGACAGCACCCTGCAACCGAGGTAGACAATCCCTTGACTATGGGCAACGAAACTTGACCTTTGGCCCCAACTAGTCTGAATTTGCCCTTGAAAGGCTGTGTCAGATGCCCGCTGCCAGGAAGTAGCGTGGCATCGGAGCGCGTGTTTAGTGCGGCAGGAGATTATTGCAACTCCGCGGAGGGACACGGGACTGTCCACCCAAAGTGTGGAGAGACTGACGTTTGTGATAAATGAATCAGGCGTGGATTAGTCTGGATTTCAAACACCAGTTCCTGGACACAAACTGACTAAATCCGCCATGAATCATGCCCCAACACATGTGCCACTTTCAGGTCTCCTCACACTGCTGGTGTGTTCCATTTTTTGTCATAGGGTGCTGGCAGATTACGGGCCTCCCATAGCTGCTGCCAGGCCCTTAATCTGCCATGGGCCCCCTATACCGCCTCCTCATGCTGCTGCCAAGTCCAGAGTCTCTCATGGGTCCCCTGTACGGCCTCCCATTGCTTGCTGTCTCCTTCGCCACCACTCTGCCATGTGCCACTTTCAGGTCTCCTCACACTGCTGGTGTATTCCATTTTTTGTCATAGGGTGCTGGCAGATTACGGGCCTCCCATAGCTGCTGCCAGGCCCCTAATCTGCCATGGGCCCCTATACCGCCTCCTCATGCTGCTGCCAGGTCCAGAGTCTCTCATGGGTCCTGTACGGCCTCCCATTGCTGCTGTCTCCATCGCCACACTCTGCCATGTGCCACTTTCAGGTCTCCTCACACTGCTGGTGGGTTCCATTTTTTGTCATAGGGTGCTGGCAGATTACGGGCCTCCCATAGCTGCTGCCAGGCCCCTAATCTGCCATGGGCCCCCGTACCGACTCTTCATGCTGCTGCCAGGCCCGTAATCTGTCATGGGCCCCTGTTGTCGCTTGTTGGCATATTCCGCTCGTTCAGATGCTCCTTCTCCTGCTACTCCTCTTCACGGATTCCGTCAGCAGTCTTTCTTGGAATCCGTTTCCAAGAGACAACAGTTTGCGAGCACGCACCAGACGGTGCAGAAACTGAACGTCCTCCTGTCCAAGTTGCTGCTGCCAGGCTCGTAATCTGTCATGCGCCCCTGTACCGCCTCCTCATGCTGCTGCCAGGCCAGGTGTCCAAGAGTGTGTCATGGGCCCCCGTACCGACTCCAAATGCTGCTGCCAGGCCCGTAATCTGTCATGGGCCCCTGTAACCGCCTCCCCATGCTGCTGCCAGGTCCAGATTGTGTCATGGGTCCCTGTACGGCCTCCCATTGCTGCTGCCAGGCCTGTAATCTGCCATGGGCCCCCGTACCGACTCCTCATGCTGCTGCCAGGCCCGTAATCTGCCATGGGCCCCTGTACCGCCTCCTCATGCTGCTGCCAGGTCCAGAGTGTGTCATGGGTCCCTGTACGGCCTCCCATTGCTGCTGTCTCTATCGCCACACTCTGCCATGTGCCACTTTCAGGTCTCCTCACACTGCTGGTGGTTTCCATTTTTGTCATAGGGTGCTGTATGGCCTCCCATTGCTGCTGCCTCCACCGCCACACTGTGGCTCCACACTCTGGTTTTGGCCCCGTGACTGGCCAAATGAGTGAAGTGTGCGGTGATTCTAAGATCGACGGCACTCATCTGCATGTCATACTGCCTGACAGTATTATTTCTCTTCCCCAGCAGACTCCAAGGGCATTTAAATTAAAGGTACAGTGTTCAGCACTAATATTAAGTCTCTCTGAAGCCTAGAAACACCCTTTTTTAAGTTAAATTCACAGCGAATATATTCGACTCGAATCAAAATTTTTCCACGAATTCGCGAATCAGTCGAATCGAATTTTTGAATACTTCGCTCATCTCTATTTTTAAGACTTCCATAGACTTCAGTCTTTCTTATAGCGCTAACAACAGAGTTTAATATAATAGAGGCGAAATTACACTCCAGTATAATGCCAGAAAATAGCAGTTATTTGTCCCTAGCATTGTGTTATGATTAACATCTGTATCTGGAAAATGAATTACTATTTGTACAATTGTGTAAAAGCCAATAATAATCTACTCTGTGGAAACAAGAGTAGATTATCATTTCAGAAATCATTTCAGAAATCCGAGAAATTTGTAGCCCCAAGTTGAAAAGTTGAGAGGGACACTGCGCCTGATTTATCGACTGCAATAGGATGTCTAGGAAAGCTGGGATGCTAAAGTGGGTCTTATAATATCATGTGATATCATTTGAAAGGCCACTAAAGCATGCCAGAAACTAAGCTAGTCTATAGCAAGCTCTTCTCGCTGCTAACCCCTAGCCTAGCACTAAGGCTGAGCTGCACATGTAGTTACGTATCAGGATGTTCATTCAGTTCCTCTGCCTTCACACAGACCCTGGCTGCAGCTCAGACCCAGAAGTAACGATCATTTGGAAAGAAAAAAGGATTTCAGGTCC